CGCGGTGATGTGTTACGCTGTGACAACGAGTTGCAATGGTGCATCGCGGTGGCACAGAGATGCATTGTAGTAGTGCGTTGTGATGGCGTGACGCATTGCGGCGGTGCAACGGGGCGACGCATTGGGGCGTGGCGACACATTGTGAGGTTGCATCGGGGAGATGCATTGCAGCGCAACGACGTGTTGTGACAGTGCGTCGCGACGACGTGCTGACGAAGCATCGTAGTGGCGTAATGTGTTGGATGTCGAATGTCAAGAAAGAGGGTAGGGGTGGTATCCTAAGCTTATTCAAGATTTTTCAGAACAAAATTATTCTGCGCAGTGGTAATGAGTTGCAGTGCAGATTTACGGCAAATAGTTGCAGTGTGGAGTTGCGGTGCCGAGTTACGGTGTCGAGTTGTGGTACCGAGTTGCGGCGCAGAGTTATGGTGTCGAGTTGCGACACAGAGTTGTGGTTCAGTGCTAAGGTGCAGATTTGCGGTGTCGAGTTATGGGGCAGAGTTGCAGTGACGGGTTACGATGTAGAGTTGCGGTGTCGAGTTGCGGTGCAGAGTTGTGGTGCCAAGTTGCGGCACAGAGTTGTGGTGTCGAGTTACGGTGCAGAGTTGAGGTACCGAGCTATGGTGCAGAGTTGTGGTCTGAAGCTACGGTGCAGAGTTGTTGTGTCAAGTTACGGTGCAGAGTTGTGGTCCCGAGCTACGGTGCAGAGTTGCATGACCGAGCTACGTTGCATAGTTGTGGTGTCGAGCTACGGTGCAAAGTTGTGGTCCTGAGTTCCGGTGCAGAGTTGCATGACCGAGCTACGGTGCATAGTTGCAATGTCGAGCTACGATGCAGAGTTGCGGTCCCGAGCTAGGTGCAGAGTTGCGGTCTCGAGCTATGGTGCAGAGTTACGGTGTCGCGCTACGGTGCAGAGTTGCGGTCCCGAGCTACCGTGCAAAGTTGTGATGTCGATTTGCGGTGCAGAGTTGCGGCGTAGAGTTGTGATGTCAAGTTGTAGCACAGAGTTGCGGTACCAAGTTATGGTGCAGATTTGCGGTGCTTAGTTGCGGTGTCGAGTTAAGGCAAATAGAAAAGTCGTCTCCGTCCTGCGTAGTAGATAAGCAACGAGATTTTCTTTCTAGTTGCAGTCTAGTTCGGAGGTGATGAAAAAATATTGTAGTTTTCCAACAACGCTTTGAGGGGAAGATTTTCATTCTTATGTGGTGGCAATATCTGGAGACCTCCTAACAATCATCAGAAATATTTGAATTTTGGGAAGGCGATGCCGACTCTGCTCGAAGATGAGTTCATCTATTGTAGCACTTATGTTGGTATTTGTAGTCTTTTTAGTCATTTGATGTAACATTTATAGATGATGATACTGTATTTCTTTGTATTTTTTTACGTTTCTTCTGAAGCTTTTGTGGTTCAAGCCTTCCGAGGTTGTGCCCCCTTGGACTTATGCCTTATAGGAGTTTGAACCAGTATCTTATGTGGCTTGTAGCCTTCTGAGGTCTTTGAGTAGAGACCCTGTCAATCACTTGCTCTCATGGAGCATTTCTAATGAGGACCCTATCCACTGTTAGCATCCTATCGAGATTTGCCTCCTGAGCTTATCTTCTGGGGCATGGTAGCTTCTCATTGAATCTCGCCTCTTGAGCTTGACTTTCAAGGGCATGGTTGAAAGGAGAATCCAATAAGGATGTAAGACCAGTTCTGAGTCGTATAACCAGAGATGTTCAACAGTATTAACCCGTAATGAACAGAGTCATATGAAATCCACTGATGATGGTTAACCTATCCTATATTGTTGGTCGAAGCTTTTGCTTGACGACCGTAACCTATTATAGAATAAATCGAAGAAAATTCATCAAGGATTTTTTACCTATCCGAGGTTGTATATCAAAGTTTTTGCTTGACGACTGTAGCCTCTAATGAAGAGGTCAAATCAAGTCTCCCTGAGATCGATTAAGCCTAGAATGAGGTGTTAGAGATGTTCTGCGTTTCTCGAGACTATGAAATAGGTCGCAATGGACCTTATATTTTATTGGAAATGTGGTTGTAGTCATACTCAAGAAAATATTTGAGAACTTGTTAGTTGCTGCTTTTGAATCTTTTGCTCTCCTAGCAGAGGTATTTTCCATACAAGCTTGTAAAACAACACATTTATTGGGCCTTGAAGAGATTAGATTTCTGATATAGCTGAAGAGGAACTCTAGTTCGATGAGGAGACACCGAGGAAGCATTTTTTGCAGTAAAGATTGCCCCCCAGTCCAGGATAATTCTCGAAGAATTGTAATCTAAAAAAATATGGGATGACTTCCCCACCACAGTCGTGCCCGGGACGTTGTCATGAACGAACTTCCGAGACTATAGTGAAGGTTGCCCCCTAGCTTGGAAGAATGCTTCTGAGAAGATTTTCAAAACATAAAGGAGGTTCCTTAGTCAGTTAGATGATATACATCATTGGGAAATGAAGTAGGGGATCAATTCCTTAGAGTTGAAGACAATGCTGAACAGGACTTTGTTTCCCATTGACGGCGTCAAACTGATGTGTGCCAGAAAATTCACAGCGGTAGAGTAACAAATTATCATCTTAGCGTTGTACGAGAATTTGCACACACTTAGATGAAAAAGAAAAAAAAAGTGCCTACTCCAGAAGTTTTTACGTGGAAAGCCCGTAAAGGGAAAAATCACAGAGTCTGGCTCAGTTGTGAAAATCCACTATTGATTAATGATTACAGAAACCCCTTATTCCACAGACGGGAAATTGTAACTATATTTTTCAAATTACAACGTTGACTCACAGTGCTGGTTGATGGTGATCGATGACAATTTATGGAGGTCGACGACGATCAGTGATGGTCTTAAGAGGTCGGCGATGGTTGACTACGATTGACAGTGGTCGACGATGGAGGTTGGCGATGGTCGATAAAGGAGGTTGACGGTGTTCGACGACGATTGGTGGTGACGCTGAACTACATCATCTCTTCAATGTCTCAGGCTCTCTCCCCAGAATTCAGCCCCCCTCATGAGAGGGATGGGGCACTATTTTATAGTGTTTTGGGTGTAATTAATGCAGGAATATGAATCATTTTGATCGGACGATCCAGAAAGCTTCCCTTGATCATATGGCATTTAGTGGATATTGAAGTGCCTTAATGATGTTAAAATTGAGTGATATTGGGCTCGTTGGATTCGTCTTGTCGAGCCGCTCGATTCGAGTATAAACTTGTCATATTCGACAACCCTTTGATCATTCAAATATATCCAGAAATTATTTAAGTGTGGTTCAATGACTTGATCTGGGCTTGATTTGACACGGATTGAGCTAGTTTTTATATCATTAGGTCTGTCTCATCATACCGGTTAGTTTGATTATAAGTTTGCTGAAATCAGAGCTCTGGATGACTTTTTATTAAGATTTAAATGTTTCATACTTAAATAGCATCTCGAGATTCATGTCATGCCTTGAGATTCGTGTCAGATGATGAAAATTTGTTGGTGGCGTATCACTAGCAAATGTTACTATGGTGTAGCTCCTATCTATAGCGGATCTTGGCTGCGGATCTTTCAAATGTGATCTCGATGACCCGATGTGCCTTAAGGCGCAAGAATGTATTCACGATATCTCCAACATATCCTTCAAGTCTATTTTCATCAGCTCTCTCAACTCAGTGATCTATTTGGTAACAAACTCTCTGGTACAACCTATTATTTTTTAATAGCGTTGTTCAGATGATAAGGGACTTTTTGAAAGTTTGCGTACACCTCACCTTTCAGAATGTTGAATCCTTTTAGGATGCAGGATCCAATATTTTTCATGAATGCATACAATTTTATAGAAACTTTTTATTGTAGAGAGATTGACAAAGAGAGATAGATGAAAATCTTTTGAGAGAACCTTTTGAAATATATTGAATTTTTTATCTTCGATGGAACGGAGTGTGGGGGGGGAGGGGGAGGGCTCTTTGGAAGTTCCCTGGGTTACTGAGCTGGAAAGATAATAAAGATGGAAAATAATTTCTGAAATGGAGAAAGAAGTAAAGGAGCTTCCAGGGAGAAAAAAAAGAAAGAAGTGTCTCCATTAGGGAGAAAATTAATAAAATGATTTAAGTTGTATATCTTCTACTATATGTCATTATTTCCCAGGTCTTGATAGAAGGCCGTGATGTAGATGTCAGGTATTACTCGTCGTATATCAGACATTGTTAGTACGATGACCATCTTTAATACATTGATGAAAGAAACAAATCCCAATTGTCAGGCATCGTCTGTAAAAAGGTATTGACGGATTTTCTTTAATGCATGAGCCCGATTTAGTGAAATTTTTTAGTAAGAAACTTCAACTACCTCTATTTATGCATAAACTTACAATGTCGATCTTAGTGAATGACTTCTTAAAGTCTGTTAGGGACAGTTTTCGGTTTGTTTTCTTTTTTATACACAATTCTACTTGAGGAATCATTTTTTTTTTTTTTGTTTTTTAGAAACTTTTGTGATACAATGTTGTTTTTTTCAACTTGAGCTCTTATAATATAAAAGTAGTAAAAAAAAAATATTTTTTTTGACTTTTTGAGAAGGAAATAAACTTACGATAACTATCGTAATTTTATGAACGGGGACAATATCCCCAGGAGGATTTAGGCGAGCAGCTTCGACGCCTTCGGCTGATATCCGATCCCAATACGTGCAACATAAGAATACTTTCAAAGAATTCAATCCTATCCATGCAAAATTCTTTTAATTTGGCACACTATTCATTTCTTTTGATTTGACACCAGAACTGCATGGTTTTGCTGGCCGCATCGAGCCAAAACCGAACCTGCCGGCCAGTGGGCAGACATGGCATCTAACGCCGTCAATTACGACGCATTGACGGTTTCTCATCCACAGATCAGTGGGCCCCTTCAGTCTGCATAGCGCCGTCACCACACAAAACGAAAAATACGTCGCGCCCTGCGCCATACCCCACGTGTTGCGGCGAGAAAAGCGAGCGACATTGCTGCAGAAGAAGATTTTTTGAGGTAAAGTTGGAGCTTGTAGAGTGCTCGTGGGAGATTTGGGCTTCGTTCTCGTGCTCGGTCTCGCCTCGAGAGGAAACGGAAGCGAATTCGGCATGTTTCGACTTCGAGTATTGATGAGGTGAAGTTAATAGGAGAGAGAGAGAGAACAGAACGGCATATGAGAAGGCGGAGCTTGGTTTGGTTATGAAGCAGAGAGGAGGAAAGGGGAGCTGAAATCGTGGGAGATCTCAGAGCAAGGTGGCTTTTGGCTTCTTGCTTTATTGAGTTTGGAATTTTATGGTCTTGCTGAACGTTTGCGAAGGATGGTGGGAGATGCTTTGTACGAGGAGCTATGGAGGGCTTGCGCGGGGCCTTTGGTCGAGATACCTCGCGTTGGAGAGAGGGTTTATTATTTTTCTCAAGGTCACATGGAGCAGGTGAGGAGTTTTTCTCTTTATCCATTCTTATCCTCTTATCTTTTCTGTGTACAATACGGGTTCTGATGGAATACTGCGTTTTATTTGGGGGTTTTCATGGGGATGTGTAGTTAGAAGCATCGACTAATCAGGAGCTGGATGAGCGGATTCCACTCTTCAATCTTCCCTCCGGAAGATCTAAAATTCTTTGTCGCGTTATAAACGTAGAGCTCAGGGTAAGATTTCTTTCTTCTCTGCTTTCCTGTTCTTAATTCCTATTCTTTAAGTTTATATTGATTTTGCAAGTTTTTAATTTCTTTAATTTCGATTTGTAATAGGCTGAGCATGAAACAGACGAAGTTTATGCACAGATCACTTTGCTTCCGGAGGCAGATGTAAGTTTCTAGCCGATATTTTGAATCTTTGGCTTTGTTTGTTGTTTTGTATACTCGCTGATTATGATTTATGAATCTGTTGAAGAGAAAATGAACTCGTTTTCCTTAATTTATACAGCAAAGCGAGCTGAGTACAGCCGATCCTTGTCTCCCAGAGCTACAGAGGCCGGTGGTTAATTCGTTTTCCAAGATTTTAACGGCCTCAGATACAAGTACGCATGGGGGGTTTTCAGTTCTCCGCCGCCATGCCAACGAGTGCCTTCCCACACTGGTTCGTTCTTTCCCCCTCCCTTTTTTTTTTTTTCTTTCAGAATTCATATTATCATTTCCTGTTTGTATGCTCGTCTGTTTCGCTTAATCTTTTATCATTTATTTTTTTCGTAATCAGGATATGTCGCAGCCAACTCCAACCCAGGAGCTGTGTGCCAAAGACCTTCATGGCTATGAATGGCGATTCAAGCACATTTTTAGAGGTAATATATAGAAGATTTTGATATGGGGATATGATTGGTGTAGATTGGCGCGGATTTGGTGGTGTTGGGGTGAATACCACTCATGCGCACATGTGAATTCCACACATGATATTTGCTCGGGCTATGGGAGCATGTTTCACCCAAAAATGACTTTTTTTTTTTTAATATTTTTTTTCCGGTTATTTCTTGTTTCTTATTATTTTCTGATCACAGGGCAACCTCGAAGGCATTTGCTCACTACTGGATGGAGTACCTTTGTCACTTCCAAGAGATTAGTGGCTGGGGATGCATTTGTTTTCTTAAGGTACTAAATTCAAAGATCATATGTGTTTGCCATGCCTTGTGCCATGAGATAAATTGCTGAATATTTGATTATTTGCTATGGTTTTAAATTCTACATCTCACTGCAAACAAAATTAGCATTTTTTCAATTTATTGAGCTGTGGAACATGTATTTGTGAGTGCCACCATCAAACCTTTGGGAATTTGACGGAAGGGAAAAAGCTGAGGATTTGTTGTGAATTTTTATTTTTAGATGAGAATTTAAAGATGGAGAAGGGTGGGTATTAGTTTTGTAAATAGGAAAGATTTATGTAGTTTTGCTGCTAAAGCTTTATATTTTGTGAGTTGTACTCCAAAGTAACGGTGATATAATTTGTGTAGAGGAGAGAATGGAGAGTTACGCGTTGGTGTTAAGCGCGCTTCTTGTCAGCAGAGCACAATTCCATCATCTGTGATCTCGTGTCAAAGCATGCATCTAGGAGTGCTTGCCACTGCATCTCATGCTGTGACGACTCAAACATTGTTCACTGTTTGCTACAAACCAAGGTTGAAATTTTTTCTTCTTAGATTTTTCTAAATTTGATTTGGAGTTTGCGTTTCTCTTTAAATGTACTGAAGTTAAATTTATTTTGGTTAATCAGAATTAGTCAGTTCATTGTTGGCGTGAACAAATATTTGGAAGCTATCAATAACAAGTTTTCTGTGGGGATGCGATTCATGATGAGATTTGAGGGAGAAGATACACCTGAAAAGAGGTAAATTTGATCATTGCTTCAGGTTTTTTGGTAACTTTATGTTTTATATTTTCCTATAAATCAAGAAATTTAGTGATTTAGCTTCATTCCTTTTATCTTAGGTACAATGGAACTATTGTTGGTGTTGGAGATATGTCTTCTCAGTGGGAAGGTTCGAAGTGGAGACAGCTAAAGGTAAGATCATAATCTCTTTCCACCTTATTATTCTTATTTCTATATACATTTTTTTCTTATGTATGCTGGAGATTTCTCATATATTTTTTCCCTGCAGGTTCAATGGGACGAACCAACCAATATTCAGCGACCTAACAGGGTTTCTCCATGGGAAATTGAGCCTTACAATCCCTTAGCGTCTAATGTCAGCGCACCACCGCCTTTGTGTACTAAGAGCAAAAGGCCCAGGCCATCTTTTGACCTCACAGACCCTTCACCTTCAGGTTGTAGAGACGTAGTAAACTAATTTTATCTTTTGTTAATTAAGATATCATGGAAGGTCAAATTTTAATTTTTATGCTTTGTTTTTGGATTGCAGATGCCTCTTCACCTTTCTGGTACTCAGCAGCTGCTCGCACATGTGATTTGGGTCCTTTATCTACTCCAGTTATATGGCCACCAAGAACAAAGGCTGCTGATAAGGGAAACAACACGATCAAAACACCAAATTTTAACAGCTGTGATAGATGGTTGAAGGAGCAGCCTTCTTCCTTCATTGCTTCAACATCTTCGTATAATGACGCCTCTCTGAAGCTATTTCAGGATGCAGCTCTGGAGACCAAGGTTACCTTTCCCAATACACACTCAATAACAAGTCAAATACTTGAGGATCCAGCCAAAAAAATGTCTTCGGGCACGGATGAATCAAAGAAATCTGAAAATTGCTCTGCCTACCGCTTATTTGGAATCAATTTGGTTAATCTCGTCAATTCTTCAGCATCTTCGACCAACAAGAAAACTGAAGCTGCAGTTATTGAGCATCCTCAAGTTCATGTAACTTCTATTGAGGAGTCAGATCAGCTTTCTGAACTATCAAAAAGTTCGAAGAGTTCAAAACTGGCTGTTCAGGTTTCTCAAAAGGAGATCCAGAGCAGAACGAGCAGTTCCACCAGAAACCGTATTAAGGTAAAATTCAGCCCATAAGCATTTGTATCCTAAGTTATTTGTGATATTCCTGACGTGTGGATTTCAAATGTTGGAGGTTCACATGCATGGAGTTGCAGTAGGCAGAGCTGTAGACCTCATGCATTTGGGAGGGTATGATGAGCTGATATCAGGGCTGGAAAAGATGTTTGAGATCAGTGGAGAGCTTTGCCAGAGAGATAAATGGGCTCTGGTGTTCACTGATGATGAGGGCGATATGATGCTTGTTGGTGATGATCCTTGGCCGTAAGTTTCCTCGAACTTACGCCCTCCTATCTGTTCGATAGTCTTGCCTGTTGTGACTCAATTTATTACTCCTGCAGGGAATTCTGTGACATGGTGAGGAAGATATACATATATCCAAGTGAGGAGGTGAAGAAACTGAATCCTAGCAAATTTCCTGAACCACCGCCTAATAATTTGAAGATGAATCAGGAGAGCGTAATTCTTCCACCTCTCTCTTCAAGACCTGGAATCTAGCTGAAAGAGAATCTTCCCAGCCTGGTATATTTCATGTTCATCTGTCTTCATCTTCGTTTTTTTTAACTGAAGATGGGTTCAAGTTTTAAGTGCTTTGAAGCAGAGTAATGTAGCAGCAACATCAGCTGCTTTGGAGCTCAAGTTTTTTTCCCCCCTTTTTGAAAAATTGAGTTTTGTGTTGTTAGATTATGATAACTTTTTTTTTGGGTTTATTAAGCATTAGTAAACCATTAACATTTCCATTAGTTTTTTGTTTTTTTTTTTCTTCAATTACAACTTTCAGAGCCATCTTATTTTGTACATATGTGATGTTGATATGAATAAAAAATCAGTGTTGGTTGTTCTGCGTCATTGTTTGTACTGGCCTGGTGTTTCTATTTTTCTTAATGCCTATTCCGTGACCTCTTCATTGTCTTCTAGCTTTTTCTGTGCTCCTTTGGAACTCTTGCCATTGGAATCATTGATTTTTTACTAACCATTTGTTAAAGAGGCAAAAAAATCCTGTTTTTGCATGGACTAGAGATAAAATGGATATTTTTCTAATAAAATTATAACTCAAGAGAATTTTTTTTTTGGTATTGTTGCATATCTTCCATCTAAATTCAAATATTCCTTGGTATAATATCTCACAGAAATTGTTATTTGTTTTTCTAGTATTGTTCAAAAAAATTATAATCCTGTTTTATGGAGTAAAAAAATTGACTGGAACAGTAAATAGGAGTGTCAATTGGGCTTGCAAGTTCAATTTTAGGAATGGTTTAAAAATTCTAACTCGAACTTGGTTTGCCTTTCAACTTGATTGACTTGAATTATGTTCATGTAATGTATCTCATGTTCGGGCAAAATTCTATTTACGAGTTAAATTTGTATTGATTTCGGGTTAGCAGGTTGAATTTGGGAGCTTGGCAAGTCAACTCGAATTTGAACCATGAAATGAAACATGTTGGGAATTTTTATACGAACATATTCAATTAACATGTCGGGTCCATTTTTGAAATTTTAAATAATTAGAGATTTTTTATTTTAAAAAATAGAATTTTAACTCAAATGTTTTGATTAATTGAAAATAAAGAATTTATTCGGTATGGATTTTAAAATGTATAGATTTATTTAGCTTAAATGTAGCACATAAACAATCAATCAATTATCAAATTATACTCGTTCAAAAGTAATTATATCATAGAGTCAAACAAGATAAAATTTTTATTACAATAGTATTTTTTTTTATCCCCAAGCACAATAGCTGAAGCTGGATATGATATTAACAAACATATTGGCTTCTTAAGTCGGAAGAAATTAAAGCATTTGACCTCCAAAAAATTCTTGTCAATAGTTTCCAAAATCCTGAAAAGAAACAAGAGAAGATGATGTAAAAGACCACGCATGAAAAAGCTTCATAACAAAAGAAAATGATTATTGAATTGATCAAGTCAGTATGAATAACTTGCTTATTAGCTTTTTTTTTATTTTCTTTTATGCTTTACTGGTAACCGTTTCCAATAACTGATTTGGAGAAAAGATAAAAATCAAGCCTATTATTTTATTAATAAAAAATTTGATTATAAAGATTTGAAGTAAAGAAACTTATAGAAAAGACACAACAAACTATAAGTGAAATGATAAAAATTGGAACTAAGAAAAGAAGGCAACTTTAACCTCATATAATATGTGTGCTTGGTCATCAAGAACACATTGCCCAAGATAAGGAGACGCCATGATGGTAGCATCATTAAAAATGGTCATTGATTGTGGTAGTGCCAACAAACATAATGAAAGATGGATTGTCATAGCGAATAGAAGGATATCTCTATCTAGTAAGTACAAAGTTCATGGCTACAAATAAAAAAGAAGAATGGTTGCAGATGGCAGGAAGAGTAGCCAGATAGTCGAGCATGTGGAAATATCATCCCAATGGATTAATTCCAGAAATCCAAAATAATAGCTCATGAATCATTTGATATTATATCAGCTGGTTATATATGTTCGAAAATTGGTTGAGTCTCAATGATAGTATCTAGACATTAATATAACTCGAACAAAAATCAAGAGATCCAACACGATCCAACAACTATTGTAGCTTAAGAAAATACATGTGATCTCCAAGGAATTGGGTGAGAACTCCAAAATCAAAATTTTATATGAATTCATTAGAACAAAAGATAAAAATTTTGCCAATGGTAGAAGCATAATTAAAAGTAAAAGCTATGTATAATAAATGGAATCATCACCTTTGTTGTTGTTGTTTTTTTTTATTTTTTCAAAAGGATCACAAAAATATAAAAATATACCAAAATGTCACAAATTGTTCATTGATTACTCGAGACCATTTAAGATATTTTTTCCTAAATTTCCTAATAAAGTTCTGTATATTTAAATGTATAAATTTTATTTTCCTTGATTTTTCATTAAAATAGTTACAATAAATAAAATAAAAATCATAAAAATGAAAATTTGTTTCTCCGAGTTCTCTAAACTTAGAGGGACTAAAAAAAAATATAAAAAGTAGTTTTTGAAACTAAATTGTATTTTTATTTAATTAATCACTAAAATCAATAAGTAATTATAGTATTCAAATATAACTCAAAAAGAATCATGAAATTTGGTCCAACTGGTTCTCTAATTTACGTGAACCTCTAATAATTTTCCTAAGGACAGAAAATTCACTTTGATTAATTAAATAAATTAATATTAATATTAAAAATTCCTATTTTTGAGTAATATTAAAAATTCCTATTTTTGAGTAAAATAATTATTAAAAATAAAATAAAAATCAGAAATCTTAATTTTACCTTTGATATTTTAATTAACCAATGAGAGGTACCAAAAAAATTTTAAAGTCATTTAAGTTGAATTTAGTGATTTATGAAGTGGGGATTTTGATGACCTAATTAAAATTTAGGCTAAGTTAAAGGGTAAATGGGTAATATAAATCATAATGAACCTTCTTAGATGTTTGAAACATAAAGGTTTAAGAGGTGGAAACCAACTCACCACTTTTCTATAACAATGATAAAATTGCAATTTTCTTAAATTATTATGACTTGGAAAGTCAACCTGACTGGATGATCCTAAGGTTGTGAGCTTGAGCTATGGAGTGATAACTTACTCATTTGAAGCCCCCATATTGATGATTAATGCAATCCTTCAATGAGAATTAAATCCACTTAATTCAATATCTTTGATTATTGCAAATTTTTCCTGACAATTTTATTTAAGGGGTTAGTAGTGAATTAAGCCTGATTTAAATTTGCTTAATGAGGTTAAGAAAAGAGAAACTAAATTAATCACTGATATCTCTAAAACACTATAAACCTCGCTTTAATCACGATCACAATATCCTTAATAATTTAAGCTTGCCCTTATGGGCACCCACTCACATAACTCTTATATCGGACGTCAAGTGAATATCTAAGTACCCCGCTCATAGGATAATCAAAACATCAAGGTTCATTGAGCAAAAGACAAATTAATTACCATTGGATATAAATTTAGCTTTATGTGAATAATTGAACAACATAATAAGTTCAAATGAACTCGAAATGGTTCAAAGTGTTTTAAAAGTTATTTAGGGTCATGCCCCGAATACTTTTATAATCTTTTGAATATTTTGAAGAACAATTGAACTTATTATTCTTTGTTCAAGAAAATAATCCTTAAAACTTTTAAGGACCCACTGAGTTTTGCCTTGGGACCTGATAATTCACCTAAATCAATAAAAATGCCCTACACTACTTATCGTACATTAATTGACCTAGTGCTCAAGAATTTAGGTTTTCTCTAAGATATTTAAATACTTGTGAGAAATTGGAGATATTTTTTTTTGCCACATATGAATCATCGGGCTTGTGTAAGTCTGAGGTCTAGGTGATTGCGGCGATGACGATAATGCTAATGTGTGCTAAACAAGGGATACGAAGTGGGATTTAGAATAGTATCTACTACCTCAAGGACCTTCAATAAGGAGAGGGGATAAGGACTGATTATACTATCCACTGACTCTTGATGAGATTGTTGCCTCCGGCACTCTTAGATTTCATGCAGTCCTAGCTCGATCAAAGTAATTAACCTGTGGGTCATACTACTTTACAAAGTACTTACAAAAATAAAATTTTTTTTGCCTGCTAAACTAAATTCTATATGCATGAAAATTAAATTAAAAATAAAAACTTATTAAATTCCACGGTTAATCACTTGGATCGAGGTTAGGACTGCCCTCCATAGATTATATGGTTGGTAGTTCTTTCTCAAGGTTGGGAAGCACACAGTCCAACCCTGAGCCCCTACCTTTACCAATGTCTTACATTTTGTTCTGATATTCCATATATGATTATGGGTTTTTTTTTACTTTCTCGTGTTTTACTATAACTCATTTTCTGACTTTTCCCATATCGGATGCTCTTGTTTACTTTCCTGTAAATTAGTCAAATTTTCTGCAAATATATTACGCTTTATGATTTTAACCATGCAGCGGTACCAAATGCTCAGGTACACATGTATATTTTATGTACTGCAATTTTTCTATTTACCTTACAACATTTTCTACCTGTATTTTTATGTAACCACGGTTGCTAATGAGAGTTCTTTGGTTTAAATGAGTTTAACAACTCGTTTAAACCAAGTAAATTCAAGAGAAAATAGAGGTATCAGAATGAGGGAACTATAGGATCCTAACTAGTGTTGCTCTAGTTAAATTGAAATCCCCACTTAAAGGACACTTGAATAAGAATAATAACAAAACCTATCACATACACTACAAGTTGTAAAACCTTAAATCTTGGAACTGTTGCTTCAAAGAGGAGTTTGGGGCTAATTTTGTGGGCAACATGACAAGAATGTATAGAAAAACAACTTCAAGAGAGCAGACGGATCTACAACAACAAACATTTCCTTAGAATTAAATAAAAAACCTTAGAATTTTGAGGTAGCTCGTCTAGTACGACATAAATCCTCAACTTATCTTTAGGCATTTGCACAGTCATGTTGTGCAATTTAAGTCATAACTCGCTTTAGACTCCAAGGTCGTCATTCATTATGACATAAACCCTCATATCTTCCAAGATATTTTTATGATTGTACCATGCAAGTGTAAGCCCTAAATAAAAAAATTGATAGTAAGAAACATCTAATAAAATTTTCTCAAAATTGAAGCCAACCCATATGATAACTTGGGAAGTCACAGAGGTTCTCCTCAGGATTCGTGACATCCTTTAGTTTTATCCCTTTGGATTCCAAAAAAAAATGTTCCTGTTTTATCTTGTCCATTTGATGTTCCTTTGTTTGACCTTTAAAACCCTAAACTTTGAGATTCTTGAAGGCAATACCTCCTTATTTAAATTGAGAGTTTTCTTACG